TTTTTTTTTTTTTAATCGATGAGTAAAGAGGGAAATGATTTGGTAGAATTTGCATGCTCCATGTACTGGGGAAGAAAAGTTGAGCAAGAGCCACAAGCAGAGACATGAAGGGGGGTTTGGATTGAGAATGAGGGAGATGATTGATTTTGGGTTGGGCACGGGCAATATGAGGAGGGTTTGAGAGAGGAGTAGTGAACGGGGAAAGAATTTTGTAGGTTTTTCTATTTGGTTTGGGGTGGAGGAAGAAGAAGTGGAGTTGGATATGGTGGGAGTGGGAAAGAAGATAAAGTTTTAAAAGTTCGGGATTGTGGGTGGTTTAAATAAAAGAATTTGGTGTAATTTAAAAAAATAAAAAAAATCGGGACCACGACTACAATTATTCCTTTTTAATTTTGGCAATTTTTATTTTTTTAACAGTTAAACTAGTGGAATTGGACAGTATGGAATTTTTTCACACAAAAAAGATTTTATTTCGCACAAAAGGTTTCAAATATGGGTTTTCTGTGATTTTTATTTTTCAATAAGTACGGGTATATTGCACATGGAAACATTTCTAGGGAGTTTTCTACTATATATCCTATTCTCAACTCAATTGAACTTTGATTTTATGGATAATTGTAGCCATGACCTCAAACATTTTAAATCTTTGCAACTTTTATCCTAACTTTTTATTTGTTGTACCTGCAATTCAAAACCTTTCAAGTGTGCACAGCTAGAGGACAAATGGATAGAATTGGGCCAAATTGTCGTTAGTTGACCTAAAAATTTTGACTTTGACTATATTTTGATCATTTTTAATAGGAAATATGATAAATTTATTTTTTCTACATAAAAAAATAAAGTAATAGAAAAGAAAAAGAGAGAATAGAAATAAAAATAATTAAACTTCTTCTTCACTTTCCCCACCCCAAATTCACCCTACCTTACCTCACCCCACCGCCAACCCTACCACCGAATGAAACCACATCCACCATCACCATCTTCGCCACTACCTTCTTCTCCGTCTTCTCCTACCAAATCGAACCCAAATCCCAAAGCACAATGAAGCAAACATTTTCTTTCCAAATAATTGCGAATTTGTAAATGATTTTTTACTTGCAAATGTACAACTTGAATTAATAAACCAAAGCTATAAAAATGTGACATTAATAGATTTGAAGGGGCCTTAAATTAGGTTCGAACTACACAAAAATTCTTCTTTCAGCCTTTGGAATTGAAATTTCAAAAACCTGCATGCATTCTTAGATGATTCCACGATCAGCTCGGCTTTTATACTGCCGAAATCCGTTCCTCAACTATTCAAGCAAATTTGAAGTTTGTGATCTAAAAATTGGGAGAAGAAGATGGGTTCGATTTGGTGGGAGAAGACGTGGGGAAAAAAAGAAGAAGAAGAGTTGGATTCAAAGGTGGTGGCGGAGGTGGTGATGGAGGCTATGCTTTGGTTTGATTTGGTGTGACGCGGTGTGGTAGGGTGGGGTGGAAAAGGAGAAGAAGAAAATGAAGTTTATTTTTAATTTTATTTTTCAATTTTTTTTAATTTTTAATTTAATTACTTTATTTATTTTATGTAAAAAATACAAAGTTACTATTTTACCCTTTTAAAATTGGCCAAAATATTGTCAAAGTCAATTTTCTAGGTTAATCTAACAACAATTTGGACGAATCCCTTTCATTTGTCTTCCAATCGTACACACTTAAAGGTTTGGAATCATGAGTACAACAAATGAATGATTAGGATAGAAGCTACAAAGATTTTAAAGAATTGGACCGTATTTGCAATTATCCCTTGATTTTATTGCTCTCATCTTTTTCTTCACACAATCCATGTAGTAATAGAATGTATGTCAATAATCATGAGTTCTTCCTTGAAGTGTAATAAATTTCTTGTCCAAATTAAATAACCTCACCTTTTCCTTGTTGCTTTTATTACAAGATCTCATTTAATTCCTTTAATTGAATGATAAAACATATACCAATTTAATATTCAAATTCCACAAAACTTTACTTCCCAACCTAGAGAATATTTCCTCCATTTTTTGAATTATTTTATTCAAACCATTTTGTTTTCATTCTCTTCCAAGTTCGAACCGTAAAGATTTTACACAAGGTAAAAAATGTCATCCATAATGTACAAAAATAACGTACAAGTAACTTGATTTTTATATTTTATTTATTTAGGGGGTGTTTGTTTCTTATTTTCGTAAAAATGAGAATAAAAAATATAGTCGTTATGAGCCCCACACAAAAGATAGAAATTCAAATTTGATAATTTGATGTGATGAATAACAGTCATATTTTTTATTTTAACGAGGAAAGAATGGGAACCACTTATTTATTTATTTTTCAGAGAAAAAGCATACCCAAGAAACTCGCCCACCCACGGCCCCACTCTGTGCACATCCAAAGACAAATAACAATACGCCTTTCAAAAAGAGAGTCCCGAGCACTACAAGAACAAAACCCGAACTCTTTATTTTTCATTTGAGTGAAAAAGAGGCAGCAAACAAGAAATCTGAGCCAACCCTTTAATCTTTGAATTAATCTTTCCTCATTCTTAACTAAGACCCATCTCCCAGAAAACCCAAAAATCGTATCTTCAAGCCTTCTGTAAGAAGAAATTGGAGAAGGAAAATAAATGATGATTTGATTTTATCAAGAATCCATCAATGGGTTTGCCGAGAATTGCCTTCTATTTTGTTCCTGTTTTTCTGCTTATTTTAACCATTCTTGAGCTCACCCCAGTATCCAAATCAGCACCTGACTACACCAGTTTAGTGTACAAGGGCTGTGCCAAGCAAGTTTTAGCAGATCCAACCGGGGTTTACTCACAAGCGCTCTCTGCCCTTTTCGGCACCCTCACTGCCCAATCCTCCAAGGCCAAGTTTTACAAAACCACCACTGGCAGTGGCCAAACCACGATTAATGGCCTTTTTCAATGCAGAGGGGACCTTTCAAATGCTGATTGCTACAATTGTGTAAGCAGGTTGCCTATACTCATAGATAAACTCTGTGGGAAGCCTATTGCGGCAAGACTCCAGCTTTTTGGTTGCTACATGCTTTATGAAGTTGCAGGATTTTCTCAAATCTCCGGGATGGAAATGCTGTACAAGACTTGCAGTGGAAAGAACGCTGGAGGAGCTGGATATGAGGAAAAAAGAGACACTGCATTTTCTTCAGTGGCAAATGGCATAGGAAATGCCAATGGATTTTACACCACAAGTTATGAGTCTGTTTACGTATTGGGGCAATGTGAGGGGGATGTGGGCTCTTCTGACTGTGTGGAGTGTGTGAAAAATGCTCTTCAGAGAGCTCAGGTTGAATGTGGGAGTTCCATTTCTGGCCAAATCTATCTTCACAAGTGCTTCATCAGTTATAGCTATTATCAAAATGGGGTTCCTAAAAGATCATCATCATCGTCATATACTTCTCCTTCTTCATCATGTATGATCTTGTCTTTTATTCTTTAATTCTCTTTATTTATTTTTGTACCAATAATATTATGATCTAGCTGGATTAGCATTATTCTTGGGGCTCATAATTCTACCAGCAAAATGAGGTTTTTTCCAACTTTGATATCTTAGCTGTCCCCCTTTATGTTAATATATGTGGATGTGGTAACACTAGATAATATATGTTGAATAAGATCTTTTATTCTTTAATTCTCTTTGGTTTGCGGGCCTTATCTCTAGATTTGATATTAGTAGTCCTAAGGGTATTCAGATTATATTAAGAGGAAATTAGGCCCTGCTCTGCTTTTGAGATTAAAAGTTGAAAATCTGATTATTTATTTATTTATTTATTATTATTAATTTTTTTTTTTTTTTATTTTTTTTTAGCATCTGATTGGAAAATACTTCCAGTTGTATCTTTTAAAGAATTATTTTAACTCTATGAGTAGTTAAATTGATTGTAACTATCTGAAAATTATAGGAATTGTAATTTTTTTAGTGCACTTTCTCAATAAATGTTTAACCCTTAATTTGAGTGTATTTTAGAATTTGTCCTTATATTAATGGAATTGCTTTGATTTAATTTATTACAGGGTCAGGGCAAAATACAGGGAAGACAGTGGCTATAATATTAGGAGGGGCGGCAGGAGTGGGGTTTTTAGTCATTTGTTTGCTGTTTGTAAGAAATTTAACCAAGAAGCATGATGGTAAGAAAAGATTTTAAAAGTTTTTTTTTTCTATTAATTATATTTTCTTATTCTCATTTTTTATTATAAACTGTTACTTTTGCAGATTATTGAGTGGAACATAT